TGCTGTGGATGACCTCATGTCCAGACATTTTGGAACCATTCGATTCGCAGAACTCTCCCGATGAGCTCTACACTCTTAGAAAATTCCCAGCGTTTGGGGAGTAAAAAGTGAGCACTTCGTGAGCTTTTCGAATTTACTCTCTTATTACTCACCATATGCTCCCTCATCGCTCATATTGAAGTGAACACCTTCAGTTCTTCATCAGGCCGCTAGATGGAGGTAAGGGTCTCGCTTTTCGTACAGTACACAAAAGTTCCCTTCCCTCTTTCCCTGGAATCGTCCCGAGCAGGATTGTTTACTAGCTCGACATATGTCTCGCTTAGTCTCATTATTGGAATAAATAAGCACGGACACTTCATCATTTGTTATGCACATATTCAAGAAATATTTATGGAGTCCAGGCCATAAACAAGCTCATATTCCTATTGAGAACCCTTTTGGAACACGTAAGATTTTATCCGCATAGGAGATCTAGAACGTACGGAAAATATCCGTGAAATGTAGTCACATCTCAATTAAATGAGGAAATACGGAACTGATATCTCGGACACTCTATACATCCTATAAGAGGTCGTCCACCCTCTGCCATGTGCTGTGTTCAGTACAGGCAGATGTAGGTCAAAGCCTGTACGAGAACGAAACGTCACCCAGTATATGAGAACTTTCATGTTTGCTTGACATCCTTATATCTTTCTAATGGGAGCGTTTTTACTCCTTGGTGATGGAGTAAATTCGCTCCTTTCCAAGAGTGAAAGGGGGGTGAAACTGGAGTTAGATATTTTACTCTCTTTTTTGGGAAAAATTGCTCCCCTTTTTCGAAAAGTGAAGCAACGTTTACTTTTTCTCCCAAACCCGTCATACGAACAGTAGCACCTTCGTTCACGGCAGACATGCACGTGCATAATTTCATACAGGAATCAGGCGTGTTTCCATCGGTGTTTCCTCCGATAACACGAACAATACCGTGTGGGAGACAGGTAAGACACGTGCGAACAACCAAGGGACTGAAATAGAGAAATTCACCTATTCGCTAACCGTTGGATTCCAGACTCGACCTCGACGTTGTCAGGGGACTCCTTCGTCTCAGTTTCTTGTTCGTTGATATTTGTTCGGGAATTCCAATCTCTGCCCTTTCTTCCAATCCTCTGAACCCTCACATCCTAGATTTGAACCGGAAATAAATTCTACGGCGAACAAATTATTGCGCAAGATGCAAGTGATAAACGATAATCGAGAACGCAAATATATATAATTCTTTCACGGGAAATGAGCACCGACGATATTAGAATGCGAAATCGCATCCGACAGCTTTTTTCAATCCTCAACCGTCTGGAAACCGCAGCAAAGCGTTTCTCACGAGAAAAACACTCGGAACCTTTCGGTCTCATAGGTCGCCTTATCATATCTCGTAACTTTATTAGTACCTGGAAACGTACTCGTACCACTCTCCTTTCGTAGAACGGGATCCATTACCGTCCGGATCGGTGAAATCGTTCAGTGCTTCGTGAAGCGATCCCTCGAAACGCGGTCCACTTCCATCGCGAAAATGGCATCTCCGGCGACGAAGAAGAAAACCATAGCGATCCCGAAAGACATGGAAGACCATAGCGGCCTCGCGAAGGAGATCTCGGAATCCTTCAAGACCGGACCCTCCTGGTGCGACGTCGTCATCGCCATCCATGGCCGCAAATTCTTCTCCTGCAAGGGCATCCTCGCCGCCGTCTCCCCCTATTTTCGGCAGATGTTCTCGACAGATTTCAAGGATCCCTCGCAGAGAGAGATCCGGCTGGAAGGATTCACCGTCGCCGGATTCAAGCCGGTTTGGGATTACATCCACGGAACGCAAGTCGAAGTCGAGGGGGAGGAAGGGGCATTGGCTACTTTTCGAGATGCGCATTTTCTCGGGATCAAACGACCGACCCCCTCAACCCTTACGAAATGAAAGGGGAGTATTTACCAGCAGCGATTCATCATCGTCCAACGCGCTGGCTTTCCAAACCGTGCATGTTGAGGAATATCCACATATTTCCTATATACTCCGTGACTCCCTTACCTATATTCTCTCCCTTAGAGAAAAGAGGAAGAACCTTTCCAGGGTATTTCGGACCTACGACAATGGTCACATTTCGGCCAATAAGAATAACCTCGTACCGAACACCATCTTGGGCTCACACAACATGACTCCCACTTGAAACGAAACTCGATTGCCGAATGGACCAGTCTGCTATGTCCTTCTGGGCGTCGGAGCTCGAGGTGTTACAATACGCATTCGCTGGCATACCGGAAACTTGATTGTCATGCGTCCTTCACGACGGGTCACGGGTCAGATCGGTACTTTCCAAGCTTAAGCTCTTCCCCTATTCTGCCCGGGCGTTCCAAAATCAGAACGACAGGTCTCACTTGAAGGCAACGAAGCGGAACTCGCTGAGCATTTCCATCAAGGCGAATAGGGTTTCCCTAAAGAGGGAACGCATCCCTATTTAATTGATTGAAAGCAAGTCTATTCAAATTCGATGTGTGTCTCGATTTAGAATGCGACGAGACGGAACTCATCAGATATTATTAAAAGTGGGAAATTGGGAGTCTCCCATGACGGGAACGAACTTTTTTCATCCAATTCCTGAGAGTTCCAAATTCGTTTGGTGTCTCAGTTTAATGTTATAGGCGTAATTCGTAAGCTAATAACTTGTTGGCGATAACTATCGTCACCTCATCTCACACCTCGCCCCCATCTCCGCCGATTTTTCCCTATTCGACCGCATTTCCGAACACGAGACTAGCCCCGGTCCATCGGCTTCCTAGCCCGATCGGCGATCGAGGCGACGGGGAACCTTTCCTAGTCCCACAAAAACTTAATTCCTTGCAATAATTGTTATTATTTTTTACATCCGGACTCACAACCTTGATAATAGCCTCCGTCCACCAGAGCCCTGCACGGGTCGACTTTTCGAACTTGACCCGACTTTATAGGACCCGACGATGCGTTCCACTCGAATGCCTCGAGGTGAAAATTGCTGAAAACGATCACGAAAAGGAATTAGGGGTCTCAAAGGATGGGAAGCGATGAAAATTCATCATTTTAACTGGGAAAGATGAATAAAGAAAAGATAAATCTGGAAATTTCGCAGATGCATCACTGCGCTCTAGCGCCGTCATACCGACCACGGACAAAGTATACCATTTCATCGAGACATGCCTCCATAGAGTGCAATGCACGTGGACCGCCGCCACCTACAAGGATGTCCAATCAGTGTTTACAGTGCTTACACAGTGTTTACGCCGATGCAGTGCTTCCCATTCACTTTCGTACCAGCCGCATGATGTTACGCACGCATATTGTTTTCGAAATGGTACGCACGCGTCGCATAATGTTTTGTCCTGCCTCCTCCCGCCAAGCAAGTAAGTGCCGCTTCGAATGACATCTGACAACCCTGCTATCGTTATTAATTAATCGTTATCGTTTACACAACGTCGTGGCGGCATGGAAGTCGCAACGTCCACGATGTTGAGTCAAGGTCGAATCGACAACGGCTCGGCGCTGCGACTAGACAATAATTCCTCAGCATGCACTGCGCATGCGCCCATTAAAAGGGAAGAGCGAATTTCGAGAAATTTATTTATTTATTTTCAAAACAGTAATTGGAAATGGCAAATGCGGAAACAGTATATTCGGAAATGGCCATTTCGCTTATGGCATTTGATTATTAAAGTACGCCATTATTCATAATCATTGTTTATGTTTAGGAATATTTTCCGTAAATCCACGAAGGAGTCTCGTGGAGTCACGTGACATGTGAACTTCGTCTTCTCCGTTCACCGGGCCATAGTCACCGATGCTCTCATTGGTTTTGTCAATCTTCTCTTTCGTCAAATGTATATAAGAATTCGAATACTCTCCCCGGTCCTTCGGAGAAAACATCAAGTACCGTTCCGAAAGTACTGGGGGCACATCCGAGTTGATGAACGATTTAGCGCCACCTCATGTCGAGATCGGGAAATCTTTTTTGTTCGAATGTCTCACCAGATGTCTCACTCGACACGTACTGATGCGATATTCACTATCGACTGAAAAACATGGTCGACATATAATCACCGTTGCGGGAGTGCATACGAAACGAAGCCGGATATTTTGATATAAGCGGCGGACGTGAGCCTCGCCTCTTCGCATCCTCGAATGAACAAGGAATAAGGAAGCAGGAACGGGGAGGCAGGAAGATGCGAATGGCAATGGAAAGGCTCTCGGGTGCTTCCGTCGTTTCTTCGGAGGTTCATTTCGGGACGGGAAGAAATATGAGGCGCTTGAAACGAGACGTTCTAACGGGGAATTCGATCTGACGACTGACGTCTCGTCGCTCGTTGATGAAGACCATGTTACGAAATGGTTGTAGGTGGATGCTCGTTGTCCGGCGGTGAAAATCCTTCGGAAAGGAAGGAGAGTATTGGAGCAGCTGGGGCTGAGGAAAATTTTGTTCTGCTCAGAAATGAGATTCGATCGAAATTCAACCGAACCCGAATAAAAGAATTCCGCTCAAGGAACCGATGTTTAATGTCGTTCCATTGCCTTTATTTTTGGGACGGATGCCAGTGCGTTCTGAGGTGGTGTACGCCTCATAAAATTAAATATTTCATAACTCTCAAGCGGTTACGAGCTTCAGTGACCGCCGTCCGTGCCTCACGTTACGCAGTGGTGCATCGGTTTTTGCGCTTTAACGCCACGCAGTTGCGAAATCAGCGGTCATGACATGATATGGACATTTTTCATGGAGAATTACATTTATGTAAGTTTACCTTAGAAATACTCAGTTTCTTGATGTTTAAATTATGTGGGATGTATACATATCTCGACTGAAGTGCTCGATTCTATTCGGCCGATACACCGGGAAAACGAAAATGAAATGTTTTCCGAACGCTTCGACCCAGCGTGGGAAAGCCCCAGGTGCATCTCGCCCTTATCGGACTCCATTTCCGCGCGGCCGTTTCCCCTCGGCCACACGGTGAAAATGTCCCCGATGGGTGCCTCCTTCGCGCTCCTCGTTTCGTCGCTCCTCGTGGGCTCGCCGTCCGCCCAGCCCCAGCCGGAGGTCGTGCACGAATGGACGTTCGTGGACTACGTCTGGCCCGACGAGGAGAGTCGGATCGAGGCCTTGCAGAATGGCGATTACATCCCGGAGAACTGCGCCATCACGGGGCTCAAAGTCTACAACGGTGAGATGCGGCCTCATCTTCCCGCTCGGCTTCCTGCATCCTCTCATCCAACCCCCATCCCTGTAGCCGTGGAGTAGCGTTTCTTTGCAGAGGGGCAGCGTCGTTGGGTTTCCACAGCAACACAGTTTCGTATGCGACAAGAATCATGCAAACCTCCGTCTCATCGATGTTTTGTCCATTCGATGTTCGGTCTCGTCGAGGTCGTCCCCCATTTACTTTGACCATATCATCAATATCGTGCCGTTGAAGATCCTAATGAAATCTCATTCATTGATTCACTGAATATCGCGTGAAACTTGAGCTTCAAGTATATGGTTCCGCAGCCCTTCTAACTCGTAGTTTTGTGATAGACGTGAATTTCCAAGGGCACTAAAGAATCTAATCGGATATGTTCGATATAATATAATATAATATGATATAAATATAATCCTATAGGATTCTAAAAGAACCCTATAGGATTCCTATAATCATCATATACGATTTCATATTTCAAAAACCTCATGAGATCCTATAGGATCTTTTTGTAAGGGACTTGCCTTTGACAGAAACACCTGGAGTTTCAGGCTTCACGGCCAGGCCTGAACGACTTTTACCGAGGAATGCATACCAAATCGGAAATGGTTTTTGTTCTTCAGGAGACATCTTCGTGACGACCCCGCGCTGGAAGCCCGGCGTGCCCGCAGCCCTCTCCCGAGTGGTCGACGGCGTCCTGGCCCCGTACCCGCGGTGGGAGCTGCAGGAGATCGGGAACTGCCACGCGTTCCAATTCGTGCAGAGCATGGAGATCGACGCGTTGGGTCGCATGTGGATCATCGACACGGGGAGGGCGGAGGGATTCAACTACTCCGAGCCTTGCCCCGCGAAGCTCAGGGTTTGGGACATCGCCGATGAGCGATTCATTCGCATGCACGAGTTTCCGAGTTCGGTCGTTCCGCCGACCAACTTTCTGAACGACATCGTTGTGGACCTGACAGAGGAAGATGCGTACGCGTATATCACCGATGCCAACGAGGCAGCCCTGATCGTTTACCGTTATAGAAGAGATGAATCGTGGGTCGCCCGACACGAGGTCATGCTGCCGACCCCAGGCGCAGAGACGATCATAATCAACGGGGTCGAGTTTTCAACCAATACTGCCATCGACGGCATTGCACTCTGGAACAGCGAGCAAGTTTACTTCTGTCCCCTGACGTCTTTTGAATTGTATTCGATACCCACAGAAATTCTGCGGAACGAGACCCTCGCAACGGGCAATCTGGATGACTACATCATCGAACATCCGCAGAGACCGTCCCAAGCGGACGGCATGGTCGTCGTCGGAGACACCTTGTACTTCGGTTCCCTGGCTGAAAACGCCATCTATTCCTACAGAGTCAACAATTCGTACGAGATGGTTGCGAGGGACGACGTCACGATGGAGTGGGTCGACACGTTTGCGGTGTCCGATGGGTATTTGTGGTTTACCACCAACCGACTTCATCTATTTTTTCTCGGTCAACTGGCTGAAGATGAACCAAATTTCCGCATCATGCGCGTTCCATTGTGAATAAAAAGCACATATTGAGAGAAATCACGTTATCAGCGCAAAAAATCATTCATATATATTAAATACAGCTAAGGGCGCTTGTTTGGTTCTCTAGCTGAATTAGAGACGTACTTTCGAGTGAAATAACTTTATAAAAAAAACATTGCGAAATGATATTTCTACTACAGGAATAACGATTGCGCGTATCTGACAATATCCCAAACACTCTTTCCACATTTTCTCCCAAGCCTTTGTCCTCCAAGTCCTCCCTGTAAAATTGTTGGTTAGTGATACGAAAATCTGCAAAATGCAATTATCAGTATAAAAAGTATTTACATAAACCCTTTCATTTTAGTTCCCAATCTACCAGCCTTGTCCCGTGAATGAGGAGCTCCGAATTGCGCAACTCAATATACTATTTCACACAGAGTGAGACACTATAGCGAGTTGCGAAATGTCCAGTCGAGCAATTTCCAGGACCAAAAAAAAAGCTTTTTAGATGAGGCTATTTCGAAGCAAATTCTCATGTTCCAAGTGGAACATGAGAATTTGCTTCATTCATTTCCTTCATTCAATTTTCTATATCTCATCCCTCTCCATTCTCTCGGTCGAATTTCGGATCCCATTCAGCTTACTCATGAAATCCAGTCGACCAGAATATTTATTTCCACGGCAATCTCTGGCGGATTGTGGCTCGATGAGCCAGTACAGGCATGCATGGTGGAGCCCTCTATACTCTATATGAGCTACTCCGACCCTTATCTCTTGATATTTTTCTCCTGTTTTCTGCATGTGCTGGCGTTATCTCTTTTCTCATGTGAGCGGGACAGCTGAGACCTACATGACGAATTTGTTTTTTTTTTTTTCCTGGAACAAGGGAATGTGCCAACAAAAAAATAAGCTCATAGTCGATGACGGTATATAGGTAGGGCAAAGTCAGGACAAATAGGGTTGAAATTTATATATATACGAGACTAGCGAGCTTGTTTGCCCTTCGGGCAAACAAGCTCGCTATGGACGCGCCTTCGGCGCTCTGCG